GAGATTTTTGATAGGACATACCCTTGTACGAGTTACCAAAGACTGATAGGCAGCTTTATTATCCTTTTCTGGAGAAGTGACGTATTCGTTACGCTCTTCACGTAGCGGTGCCTGGTAGTAGCCTTCTGGTATATCATTAACTGTACGCATGTCACCATTGTCTGTCATCTCAAGTCCTAACAGAAATGAAATATTTGACTCAGATTTGGTGGTTTTTGAATAATATCAGATTATCTTTGATTCCAAATTATATTGCCTTAAATTAACAATGATATTATTTAAAAGTGCGATTACCTTGACTTTTATCAGAAGCGTCCATTTCCTCATTCCTTTGTTTTCTTATGAACCAGACAGAGGCACAGATGATAACAGCAATCAACATTATTATMACAATGGACATTCCTATCACTGCTTCGCCACCTCTCGAACTGGTCAGTTTTTCAGCTCGACCTATAAATYGAACAAAGGATGTGTCTGTGGCTTTTAGAATGGCAAAAGAGGAGAAAGTCATTTGCTTTAAGACAAGTTATCAAATTACCTTTAGCAAAGACTTTGTTTGTTTTGAAGGCCACGTAAGAATAATCACCAAAAATCCTTGTTTTCTATAAGAAAAAAGTAAAAATTAAAAATTAAACATCAACAGAGGGTTAGTTGAATGCCACAATAGTGCTTTTTATACATGAGATAAGGAAGTATGACGTACAAACCTTATCATAAGAGTCMGTTGCGATCCTTACGTACACTCTGTATGGTGTCTCTGGTTGAAGCGGCTCATTAGTAAACCCATCATTTCCTTGGGTGAAACTGAGGTCACCAATGGTAAAGTTGTTCTTGGGTAGATATGAACTTTCTATTTCAGCGGTAATGTAAGAGTCGCTTTTGAGGTTAGCACTTGTGGTGTAATTTACTATCTTAAATTCGAAGCGCTTTTGTTGAGTATTAAAGGATTGGAGACGCTCCTCATATGGCCTCCTTTCAACAGCAATTTGATAGATGCTACAAACAAAAAGATGCGAAATTAATTATACCTATTTCTGTCAAATATAATGTTGAGTGTATAAGATGGTTTTTGTTTTGATACATACGCTTTTAAGCCTGAAATGGATCGAGCGTCCTGAAAGTGGATTTTGACAGTTGAGTCAGTAATAGCATCGTTCCCAAGGATTTGGAAGTGAGGAGCATCAGCTGGAAAATGAAATAAAATCCATAAGAAATCAAATACAAACACTGGAGCAATTAAGTGGTGTATATAAAGTGAGAATACCTATCTTGCAAGTGACTCTTAGCATGTCGTCATCATTACAAGCTGCTTCTCCCCATCTTGGTTTGCATTCTTCAATGGATTTTTCAGTTCCTTTGCATTGCATGTTTCCAAGCCAAGAGATAAGACCACTTGTTTTGGACGTTTTACCATACACATCAAAATCGACAAACCCGAGCATGCGACATATAACCCGAGCATTTTGCTGGCTGTTACCGTCATTGCATATTGTTCCCCATTTATTACCATACGATACCTCTACACGTCCATTATCTGCTAACCGCAGTTTCATTTGTGGCGGTAAACCTTGAAACACAAAGGAAATATTTTAATTGAATATTTTCACGTGCCTACCTTACAAAACGGTTTTATTTTCATTACCTTTATTTGGTTTACACATAACTCCTGCTATGAAGTTTCCTGAACAAGTCGAAGATTGAACACGGAAACACTCGCCTAATCCAGTTTCAGTGCCACGACATTCAAATCCAGAAAGGAATGGCTTCTTTGTATCAATTGTGTATTTTCTAATCGCTGCCATTGCTCCGTTCATATAATTTTTCATTCTGCAGACCACATCGGCATCTTTTATGTCCCAACTGTTATCACCACAAACAGCATAGTCTTTAGTTTTGTATCGTATTACCACTTGTCCAAGTTCTGTATTCTGTCCAGATCCTATTTGCGGTGTCATTGAGTTTTGATCGCCTGTTTGTAAATGAATATAAGAAAGATTRTATCTCAATATACATTAAAGGACATGCAATCAATACTCTRTCGATATTTGTATTTACCARKTGTAACTTTGGTGCATCCAACTGCAGCTACTKTGGATTGTTTAGCAYCAGAGATACCCCATTCAAAACCACAATCTTCTATTGAATTCTCGCTTCCACGGCAATCAAGATTATCTATCAAAATGGGAAGTTTTTCATCATTCATAAGACTTCCTGCTGTTGATGCTTTTCCTGAGTTGTTGCTCCAGCACGCAACATGAGCGTCAGCCAGATTCCAGTTGTTAGCAGACACAGCTCCCCAAACACCATAGTACTGGACTTCCACTTTACTTAGATTTGTTCCTGGAACTTTAACCAATCTCATACCAAAATTTGGGTCRTTGACTGTTGCGATAAAACAAAAGGAATCAATRCATTGAAACATTCAGAACGAGTCACAGCATTTAAGAGATATTAATGTAAAGGACTTTGACAAACCTCCAGGCCGTTCACATATCACTCCTGCATGGTGATTTTTAGGACATGAGTTGTTTACCCATCCATCATGATTACACTCTTCTAGTGATTTGTCGCTATTGCTGCAGCTTACGTTTGATAACCAGATTTTGGCTTGTCCTCCTCCAAAATGGCTGATAGGTACTAAAGCTTGTTTAAATCCTTTCATTTGACAAGCGACATCTGCATCGTTTTTGTTCCACCCATTACCACAAATTGATCCTGCACTGCCGTTTACCTTTAGAGTCACTCTGCCATCATACTTTGATACTTGATTTTCCAGATCGACTGTTATATTATCTGTGTTAATATAATTGATTAGAAGTTAATACTCGAAAGCTTATTCATGGAAGTTTTTAAAAAGCAAGTTCTCTAGTCTCAGACCTTTATAACGACGGCAGACCACTCCAGCATCCATGCTATGATTACATGAAGTTGTCTTTTCCTGCCCATCACTAGTGCATTTCTCAATATTGTTTTCACTTCCTTTGCATTGAACCCCAGACATCCATATTGGACCAGTTCCTTCGCCATATGATTTATATGCTGTCATTGCGCTATCAAAACCTTTCATGCGACATACTACATTAGCTGCACGCATGTCCCATCCCGAATTGCAAACTGATCCCCAAATGTTGTGTCTTTGAACTTCAACTCGGCCTCTTGCATTGTCTGCACCACCGCTTAGACGTACGTTTTGAGGTAACGGTGTTGGTGTGACTGTAGAGGAAAACAAAATTGTTTGCATAAAGAATMTATTTAATWTTCTGATGATTGAACAAATGACAGAACTTACCTATAATTTTTGGAGTGCAAACAACCCCTGCGTAATTGCCTTCTTCACATGTGTTAACCTGTTCTAGCTTTAACCCTGTGCAATTTTTCATGGATACTTCTGTTCCTTTGCAGTGATTGACAAGCTCGAAACTTACGTTACCAGTGTGTTTACCCCAATGAGAAATAGTCACTGCTCCGGTAAAGTTTAGCATTCTGCAGATGACATGTGCGTCTTCTAACTTTAAATCCTTAGCACATATATTTCCCCAGATTTTATAATAATTCACGGTCAGGCGGCCAGAATATGGAGCTGGGGTGGTCACATCCTCAAGACGGAACTCAACATCTAGCGAACGATCTATTAACACATAGTATATGAAACATTATCAACAAGGAAAAAAGAAATTTTAAATTTAGAAATTAAGTGATTTGTTCATACTTGTCTTGCACACGATTCCAGCACGAAGGTTGTTATTTTTTGCGCAATTCTTGTTTTCCCAGTTCCAGGAATTACTGCATTCTTTGATGGAATTCTCGTCTCCTTTGCAAGCCATGTCTAATAGCCATACTTCTTCTGTCCTTGGATTCCCAGCTTGGCTAGGGATTTGGGTAATGTACGCAACATCGTAATATCCATTCATTCTACATATTACTCGTGCATCTTTCGTATCAAGGCCATCGTAGCAAATGGATCTGTTAACACCATAGTAACTAATCTCTATTCTTCCATCTTTCATCACTTTAGCGGAGGGGTTTGGTGGGCCTGTAGACAAAAAACACGCAAATATTTGCAGTTTTTTCAGGTTTTTGATTTATAGGTTGCTGATTTTAAAAGAAAAGGGCACCCAAATTTGAGTCAAATCACCTGTTTTATGAAAAATATTTTTTTGTTATATATAAAGTGAACACAAAAAGTCTAGTTACCTGCTGGGAGACAAACTAGTCCAATGTCATTACTGTGATCGCAGGTAGATTTTGAACCCCATGCAGGATGATGGCAATCGTCAAGAGACCTTTCGCAGCCAACGCATGATATGTTTTGAAGCCAAATAGGTTGTGATGTGTTTCCCGGTTGAAACTTTTGGAATTTCAGGGCTCTTGCAAATCCAAGCACTCTACAAGCGACATCAGAAGCATTGATATCCCAGCCCTTGTCACAAACTGTGCCCCATTGTCCCTTTACTTTTATTTCAAGACGACCACTGTTATTACGAGGTCCACCAACAAGTCGCAAAGCAATATCTGAAAAATGAACACTGATCTTGTAAATAATAGATTTTCTACACAGTATACTGCTCTATAGGTAATGAATTATGTTGCCTACCGGTTATTACTGGTTTACAAGTTACACCAGCATAATTGACACTTGGGCAAGGCAGACCTTTCCAGTTCCAAATGATATTACAACCTGCTATGGTCTTCTCGTCTCCTTTGCATGTCATGTTTAAGATCCAAACTTGTTTTGAGTTTGCGTCTAGAGTTCGACTGTCAATAAAAGTGATTTGATCTACATCTCCATATCCGTTCATTCTACATATTACTCTTGCATCTTTCGTATCAAAGCCATCGGAGCAAATGGACTTGTTAATGCCATAGTAACCGATTTCTACTCTGTTTTGTGGCCCTAAATGTGCGCTAATGTTGCTAACTGCAAAAAAATTGAAAATTTAAGCTTAATTATATTTCAATTAGGCAAGGGGAATATAGAAAATCACGTTTTTATTAAGTTTGGAATTGATTTTCTATATTGCATTTAGAGAGTGCTAAGAAATACAAAGAACAAAAGCTTTACTAACAGCTTACCTGTATCGTTGGTAAGAATACAAACAACACCAGCAATTCTGTTGTTTGCACAACTTTGGGTTGCAAAACTAGAATGTGTACAGTTTTCGATTGTATTTTCACTACCCACACATGAAAGATCTTTTAACCACGCTGTATRTGAYGATTTTGCMWAACTCTTKTCKGTTACAGCTYGSYTATAWCCAAGCATTCTACAAACRACGTTGGCTTCATCAATACCAAAGCCATTGTTACAAATGGTGCCCCAGGTGCCGCCATACAAAACTTCAATTCTCCCTTCACCTTTATTGATACCACCACGCAGACGAACTAGAGAAGAAAGCACAGATCATGAATCAATAAGTATAATTCCTCATTCCATTTTACATAAATCACATTAAAGTTGATTTCCCTACCTTGATATCCAGAGCACACAACACCAGCATCATATTTGTGAGTATTGCAATCAGAGTGAACGCTTCCCCATCCATTGTGAGTGCAGCTTCCAAGTGAGGACTCTGAGCTCGAACATCCTATGTTGTACAGCCATATCTTACCCGTCCCTCGTCCATAGTGCCAATATCCTACAGTTTTGGTAAAACCAAGTTTTCGACATGCAACCTTCGCATCAATCATACCCCAGGAACCAACACAAACTGTTCCCCACTGACCCTGATAGTATATGGCGTCGTCAATATAGCATTTCTTAAAGTATTGATGAATGATGCGTTGTCAGCGATCTCATCAATTTTGAAAAACATAATAAAAATAATATTTATAGCCTATGTAAAATAATAGGGTTGTTTGATAGAAGTTTATATTTGAATATATTTTTATTTAACCTAGCCTGTCATTCGCGCAACTCCGTTTTTTTTTGCAACTTTCCTTTATTACTTTTATCGAAATGAATAAGATATATATTAAAATGACTGCCTACTTTTAAAAATAGATTCAAACTTTTTTTAAAACTTCGATTTTCCGAATTGAAATTTAATRCTGATTCCAAATCTGGAAAGAAAAATAGGGTGTCCCGTGCTCGTTTTCGAGATAATCAGCATTTAATGGAAGCCTACGCACGAGCTTTTGGAGTAAAAATTGCGCCACCGGAAATGATTAGAAAAAAATTAAGATTCATAAGATGGTAGTTAATTGCAGACTATATGATTGCACGAATGAAGGCTTGTCAATCATTCTACAATAATACATGGATATTTTCGACAAAAAGACAAAGAGATACATTGATTTGTCATATTTTGTAGTTTAGGTGCTCTTTAAAAAATCTCATAAAGTCGAACAAAAATCCCTACAAAAATCTATTTTTTCATATGTTAATGATTTGAACTTTTCCTAAAGTTTTGATATCACCTAGATTTTTAGGAGTTTTTTCGAATGAGCTATTAAAAAATAGAGTCCCGTGCAAAATTTGAGGGTTTTGCCCTGTTCAAGCTCAAAACGCGTATGGTTCTTCAGTAAAATCTTGTAGATTTTTCAGCGGTTTTTGAGCCCCCGCACATCGTGGGCTCAAATCGAACGTTCAAAAGTAGGCAGCCACCTTAAAACGAGAAAAAAACCCTTTACATTACGAAACGCCAGATGACGTTTTTATGCAACCATAACAATATTGGGCCAAAATAAAGAACGGCTTCTGGTCAGGAAAGACAGGGAAATGAATTTAACATTCTCATCTTTGTTTGTTTTATTCCAATTTGAATGTGCTTTCACGAAAAAAACGTCACTCGCTATTGAGTATCAAATCCTCTGGCGTTTGATACTTCACCAAAAACTTTCCATCTTCAACCTTTAACCTCTTTAATTTCTTTGACACCTTCTTCCTTGCTTTTAACTGTACCTTGTCTCACTGCTGAAATTTGACAACAATATGACCAGGAACTCTTGCAACTAAAGATATACAGTTTGAAAACGTCACTTGGTATTGAGTATCAAATCCTCTGGCGTTTGATAATCCACCAAAAACTTTCCATCTTTAAGCTTTAACGTCTTTAATTTCTTTGACACCTTCTTCCTCGCATTTAGCTGTACTTAGTCTCACTGCTGAAATTTGACAACAATATGACCAGGAACTCTTGCAACTAAAGATATACAGTTTGAAAACGTCACTTGGTATTGAGTATTAAATCCTCTGGCGTTTGATAATCCACCAAAAACTTTCCATCTTTAAGCTTTAACCTCTTTAATGTCTTTGACACCTTCTTCCTCGCATTTAGCTGTACTTAGTCTCACTGCTGAAATTTGACAACAATATGACCAGGAACTCTTGTAACTAAAGATATACAGTTTGATATATTAAAAACTTTCGATGCCCAGTTGGGAGATTAATAAAAGCATTCTGTTTCTTTTAACTTGTTTTTGCAGGTTGGAATAATTTCTTTTACAAATACAAGAACGATTCCTCAAACCAAATTTAAAAAAAAAAGATCCAAGCTTTCGGACTAATTAGTCCATCCTCAGGGAATAATGAGATGGCGGTTAAAGACGTTATTTATGGTGGCCCATCGTTCTCATAGAAAAATAATGACAAAAATGAAAGAAAAAATAAAAGTAAAGAAAAATAACTTTGAAAAATAAAAATAAAATGAAAAATAAAATGAAAAATTAAAAAAAATTAATTTCATTTCATTAAAATTAAATTGAAAATGAAAATGAAATGAAAAATAAAAATATATAAAATAAAAAAAATAATAGAATAAAATAAAAATGAGGTTGAAAATTAAAAATAAAAATAAAATAAAAATAAGATAAGAAAGAAAATATAAAGAAAAACAAGAAAGAAAAAAAAAACATTTGTATTTGATTTTGATTTTGCAATGAGAACGATGGGCCAGCGCATGGCCCAGTGTTCTCATAGTGAAATCATCCGCGAAATTCAGTCTTGTGGGTCGGCCCAGCGTTCTCATAGCCAGCGATATCCGAGAGCAGCGGTTCACTCACCAAATCAAAATGGCGTCTGGTGGTAACATCCGAAACACTGATTGGGAAGGCGATGAAGAACTGAAGTCAGACTTACAACGATACGTTCTACAAAACCTGAAGCGTAGGGAAATTCTCAACTTTGTCAAAAGAGATTTTCCTGAGTATGCTTGGAGTCCTGGAACGCTAAGCCGGAGACGTTTTTCGGCATTAACTATGTAAACTACGACGAAAGCGTCCAAGAAGTGGAGCGAGTTGTTCRTGAGGAGTTAGAAGGGTCGGGGCAGTTACTTGGCTATCGTTCCATGCACAAAAAGTTGAGAGAGCAACATAACCTTGCAGTATAACTTGGTGTATGATGTTATGGGGGTTGTGGATCCAGAGGGGTTAGAGTGACGTGGCATGGTGATGTGGGGAAGAAGAAAAGGAGAAGGGGTGTTATTGGAACTGGTGCAGGATTTATATCGATAAAGGCAAGATTTAAGTCAAAATCAAGTCACCGAGTCATTTCCGTGTGTCAAATAAAGCGTTCCTAAATTAACTCCTCTGATTCATCCACGAGTAACCAGGTTGAGATTGTGTTACGTTTGTCGAGCAATATTTGGGATGATGTATGCTTTCTTGATTTACTGAATAGACCTTATTGGCTTGGGCGTATTTAATATGTTGTCCCAATTCCAGTTACTAGAGTATCATTTCTTTGTTTACCGGTAATTGTTGTGCACGAGAAAACACATGAATATGGATACAACAAGAACAAGGGTAATGGCTCTAACTCTCAAGGGAATGACTCGTGGCCTGAAGTGCTGTGGGACAACATTACGCCCAAGCGAATTAGGTCTATTAAAACAGTTCTGCTCCAGACTTTGTCCTGTTCAGTTGTGTTTTTTCTAGTTCTTTTAGTCTTAGTTTTAATTTCGCATTTCCTGCAATCTATCGACAAAAAGACCTGCAATGAAAAGTCCATTTTCAATTCCCCTCGCTCAACTCCAGCCTCAACAGCGTGTTTGATCACAGCCCGCGGTAATGTAAGGAATTTACACATCCACGAACAATTGAAACTCTTAAAAATTCCACAGGCTTTAGTCAAATTCTAAAGAATATTTTACACGCTGTCAAGGCCGGAGGGGAACTGTAAAATGGACTATACCATTCTTGCCACACAAGCACGCATACTCAGGAAAATCTCTTTTGAAAAAAACGAGAGTATCGTTGTAAGTCTGACTTAAGTTCTACGTCGCCTTCCAATCAGTGTTTTAACTTGAGGAGAGCCTGATACTCAGGCAATCAGTGATGTTTTCACCAGACGCCATTTTGATTTGGTGAATGAACCGCTGCTCTCGGATATCGCTGGCTATGAGAACGCTGGGCCGACCCACAAGACTGAATTTCACGGTGATTTCACTATGAGAACACTGGGCCATGCCCTGGCCCATCGTTCTCATTGCAAAATCAAAATCAAGTACAAATGTTTTTTTTTTTTTTTTNGCCTCAACAGCGTGTTTGATCACAGCCCGCGGTAATGTAAGGAATTTACACATCCACGAACAATTGAAACTCTTAAAAATTCCACAGGCTTTAGTCAAATTCTAAAGAATATTTTACACGCTGTCAAGGCCGGAGGGGAACTGTAAAATGGACTATACCATTTTTGCCACACAAGCACGCATTCTCAGGAAAATCTCTTTTGAAAAGTCTGAAGTCTGACTTAAGCTCTACGTCGCCTTCCAATCAGTGTTTTAACTTGAGGAGAGCCTGATAGCAAAATAAATATAAATCTCTTAAGCTCTACGTCGCCTTCCAATCAGTGTTTTAACTTGAGGAGAGCCTGATAGCAAAATAAATATAAATCAGCGTACATATGGGTAACTGAACGCAAAATCACTTCCGAGAAAAACGCAAAATTTTTCAAGCCGGGGTGTTTGGATTTTGGTCGAGAGTCGAGACTAATATGTCGAGAATCGAGACTAATATGTCGAGAGTCTCAAAAATATTATAATATTATGATATATAGTATAGTAGAATATAAAGTGACATCAAACACTGTCTAGATTTTACACCGTGAAAGTCTTCAAAATATTTGGAACTGACGTTTCGGAAGTTAGTCCTTCGTCGGAATAAAGACTGAAATACAATTACGTGAAATACAATTTACTAAATAGTGCAAAATAGTGGTTGTTAAACAATGGAAACAATAGAATTTGCACAACACTAACAGTAAAACTAATGTTTGCACTCCACCAAGACACCTACGCAACCCATGAACTTTAAATACTAGCCGTTTCTAATAGAAAGTGAAGTGCTGCGAGGTTGCCCTATATCTGCTACTGTGTGGGTTTGAGCAACGTTTCCCATAAAACAAAAACTATTTTTATAAGTAAAGATTGATTAACCTGATAGATTGGATGAAGAATGAAGTAATATATTGAATGCTAAAATGATTTTGCTCATTTGGGTACACGGAAAATTTCTGTGTGTGTGCGTGCCTTTCAAGCCACGTTCCCTGTCAGCGATCTGTCTCAGCCTAACCTTTGGTCGATTTTCAAAGCAAGCACATTAGAGTGCTTTTAGTCTCACTGTTGAATAGTTAGATAAATTTATCTAACTTAGATAACTATTTAGTTGACGTCACCTAAAATAGTAAAAGCGCGCCAAATAATGGTCATGCTAATCCTGGGGGTTGTTTTACCAGAGAATGAGTGAATAGA